TTTGCAAATAAAACTACCTTCTAGAAATACCCTACTAGTAAGTTCTAAAAGAAAGCTCTCAAGAAATTTGTAGTTTTGGTTAATTTTATGGGCAATAAAGGGGCAGCATTTTCCAGTGTCCTTACATGGCATAAACACATTTCCACCTATGGGGTTTTTTCTGGATGACAGACTTGTCAAAATATTTATGTGTTTTAACAGTTCTTGGCTAACCATCTGCAGAAAATCATATAGTAATAAGCTAGTTGTTGCCTTGCTCGACCTAGTGCTCCACTTTTAAGTGTGGGAGAACACACTAGGCTAGATTTCTTTTCTTAGCTCAGTTTTTATTCTCGTTTCCACTTTTGATCATGTTGTATCTAATGAACAAGTTTTATGGAAAGTGTGGGTTTTTTTTTTTTTTTTTTTTTTTGGTAGTTCTGTTCCTCCAGAGCCTTTTCGACCATAGCAGATAGAAGAGACTAATGCTAAAAATCATTTTCTTGTCAAGGGAAGCTTTAGTAGCTGTTCTTAAATTTAGAAGAGTCATTACCTCTTGCATAATTGTAGTATATTAGATTTCAGGTAGTGAATCTGTTAGCAAGCCTTACAATTTGTTCTCTTTTTTGGTGAACTACATCTAGACTCCTTGTAGCGATTTTGACTGCCCTGGGTTCTTGCTCAGGTAGCTGCAGTAGATAATTTTATTAGTTTAGAAAACTTGCACCTGTTTCTGGTTTGCATTTGTCTAGTTTCAGATACTAATTATTACATCTTTTTATGCTTCTTGCTGACAAAAATAATCTAATCATAGATTCTTTTAATGATACTGCTTGTTTTAAAATTGGTAGTGTTGTAATCTTGAGGTACTTGAATCTCAGTTTTCTCTTGGAACTGTAGAGTAGGGTTCTGGGGTGGTTTGAATGGAGCAGCAGATCTGGTTTAGATGAGATTTTGAAAGACTTGCTCAAACTGCTCTATAACGTAAAGCAGGGACAGTGAACAGAAAAACAGCATGTCTGGAATGTTTCGATGTATGTGCTTATGTTAGAATTGTTTCCAGCATCTGTTCTTAGATATCTCTTTTCTGTGGTCCCTTTTCTTTCACTCTGTGGATATCCAAATTTAGTTATAAAGTATGAGATTTAATCCGTATGGATAATGCCTACATGCTGTCCTGACCCTGTTTCTGAAAGATGTAGAATTTAATTGGATATTTGGATGTGGACATGGGTGGAAATATTTTGGTCTCAGTTGGTCACAAATTAGTCTTTTCATTCGCTTAAAAGTTCATTTAGTATTTATGCTTATGTGATAGTACGTGAGTATGGGTGCTTAGGAACTCATCTGAAAAATGTGTGGTATTGATATAATTCGTTTAGGAATATAGATTTTTTCCCTTTTTTTTTTTCTGTTCAGGAGTATACATGCACATGCTAGGTAAAATACATCTTTCAGGTTGAGCCTAAACATTTCTGGCAGCATATGCTGTTCATCATTAGTAATTACATGACTATCTGCAGAAGCTCTCTCCTGTAAACTCCCTTTAATACCTCTTGACCTCTGTTCATCTTATTTCTCTTTCATGTTAGTCTCAAAATGTCATGTCATGAAATATTTTGGGATGATTGTATCAAGTTAGTATGAGATTTTTTCATCACAGTTGAGGCTCTGCATACATGTTGACTTCGCAAAATGGAGTGAAATGCTGCTGGTGTGCAAAGCCCAGCACCACGGTGCCTGCTGTTCCGCTCCGTGAAGCTGCCGCTCTGGTGGGTCAGGCATAGTTCTTCAGACAGGAGGTAGAGGCTTCTCTTTCCTGGAAACTGAGTTTTGAAAATGATAGACATAACCAAAATCTGTTATACCAAAGCTGAAGTGTTTTCTTACATGTTCCATAACTCATCCCATTTTCCATTCTCTATAAGCCATCTCTTTGGCTTTTGTACAGAGTATCTTTTTTTGTGAGAACATGACTGTGAGAAGTGAGGTCTAATTCTGGGTACCTTGTTCTCATTCCGTCTAGCAACCTATTCTGCAAAGCCCTGTGCAAGCTTTGGAAAAACTCTTGAGACTGCAGATCTGTGGCTTCAAATTTTTCTGTTGATAAAAAATTTAATCTGCCTTTATTATTGCAGCCGGCACATTGTTGCTGTCTTACAACATAAGCATCTTTTACATTTAATCTCAGTCTCCTCATGATAGGGACAAAAATTTTCTTAAGCATTATTACCTGCATTTCTCTTTAGAATACTATTTTCATGATTGGAAAGGATTTCATTGCTTTACCCTTGAGGGAGAGGAGGACTGCTGCTTTTCTGCAGTCCTAATGAGCTTGTATTTGGTATATTATATACTTGTTTTGGAGAAATGTGAATCCGAAGAAGGTCAATTTGAAAGCCTTTAGTCAATGCACCATGAAAACTTTGCATTGTATTTCTGATGCGGAAATATGAACAGGTAGTGGCACTACTATAGCTTTTAAAGTCAAGTCTAATAGCATTTAGGAAGAACCAAAAGTTAACACGTGACTCTTTGCCTAACACCACATTTTGATGAGAGTATATTTAGCTTATAGCAGGAAACCATGGCAATATAATATATGCACATGGGCTTGTAAACTTGGATTTTTTAAGCAATGTCACATTTTGTCAAATTGAAAATAAAATCTGAGCTTAAAAAGTCCCTATCTAAGCCTTTGTGTACCAACCTAAAGATTGAGATCTTAAATGGAACCAAGAGGTATATAAATAACTATATTTTATTTTATTTTATTTTATTTTATTTTATTTTATTTTATTTTATTTTATTTTATTTTATTTTATTTTATTTTATTTTATTTTATTTTATTTNTATTTTATTTTATTTTATTTTATTTTATTTTATTTTATTTTATTTTATTTTATTTTATTTTATTTTATTTTATTTTATTTTATTTTATTTTATTTTACTTCAGAGTTACTCTGTGTTTATGTGAGAGCCCATGCTTTGGTGTTTTGAATGGTGAATTTCTGGAACTAAAAGCTTTACAATTTATTGCAGCTTGACTTAGAGAATTAACCCTCCTTAGGTAGAGAACAGTAGCAGTCCTACATACCTTGCACAGAGTGACAAGTTCTTCAGGGGTCACTCTGATACTATAGTAATAAATTATGCATATATTTAGCCCAAGCATTTTGGACATTAATATCTAATGTCCAACTAATGGTTGACAAAACAGCTTGTGTGACAGTTGCTGAAGTTACATCTTAATGGTTTAAAAACTTAATGTAATGTATCTCAAAACACAGCAACCTTCATTTTGTGTCTCTTAAAATTGGGCAGAAGTGCAGACCCCAATTATCACTGTAAATACTTCATTCTGGAATCTTAATGGTGTAATGTGCAAGTTAAAGTGTCAGGAGGAGTTAGTGCTTCCTGCATTTTCCCTTTTGCATCCTATGTTTGGCAGGTCTGGCTTCTGCCACTTTCTGATCTGCGTGAGTATCCTTCTCCCATTCCTTCCACTATAAAGAAATGTGTACATTTGCGCTTTCCAAAGATGGAGTTTTGGAAATTTTTCACTTTTAAATTGATCTATGGCCTATAATATCCAATATAACAAGTGTCCTTTTGTTACTGCTTTTTTTTTTTTTTTTTTTAAATCTGAATTCTGGCATAATGTATCCAGGACATGTTTTTAAAGTATTGTTTAGTGAGAGCCTTTGGAAGAAAAGCTTTTTAAGGTTACAGTGTGTGTGTGTGTGTGTGTGGCCGCACTTGGTGCTATCATTCTGTAGTGCTAATTCTAACTTAAATTTAGCTCTGTCATGATCCTTCCAATAGGTTGTCAGACACAAAAAAACAACCAACCAAACAAACAAACAACCGCCATTACCTTAGAGACTGCTATCTTTGTGGTCCCTAAAACACTCTTCATTTATGAGCTGCTTTTTTTGCCGTAGTTCAGTCAGTTCTGTAGACTGGCAAAACCTTTACATCTGGAGTCCCTTAATTTCTCATGTGTGTGCTGAGATGTGGCCACTTAAGTCTCTTATTTTTTGGAGGAAAAGTGTTGGGGAAGAAGGAGGGAGGAGTGGGACAAGCTGCTTTCTGGCCTTGGGCTTGTTTTAATCCCTGGAGTTCTTTTGGCTTCCCCTAGATGCTGTGCAACTGTGGATCCTTTTAAAGATGTGGGAAAACATTGCACTACACTAAGAGCCTGGGGGGATCATTTTGTTGCCTTCCAAGTATTTTAGAACTGGAAAGTGCTGTTTTGACCTGTTACTAGAATAACCTCATGTCTAGTCCAGGTGTTAAAACAATGCTGTTCCTTTAGGTGTAAATCTCAAAACTGCTACTGATCATTGAAGATTTATAGATCATGATGGAAAACTATACTTAGAGTGAGAAATTGTTGTTTTGGTAATAACAGGCCTCAAAATTGTGCTTTATGTAAAAGTCGTAAGATTAAAAATCACTTTAGAATTAATTCTGCATTTAACTTGTGAAGTTTATGAAGCATACGGATAGAAAAAATGGTCTGAATTCAACCCAGAATATACTGTGATGGAGTTTGTAGCTCATTCAGCTCACATCTTATTAATAAAATGGATGATTGCAAATTTTGTAGCCTCTACTTCCAAGCATTGGTGATTACATTCAATGCAGTTAGCATATGGAAGCTGAAGAAAAGCCTTTTGATTGTTTATTAAAAAAATAAATTATTGCTAGATGTATGTGTGATATGAGTGCTTATTCTGTAGTTAAAATACAAGCAAATGTACTGAGATATTATCTAAAATAAACTTTAAACAAGTTTTCTTACTGCACTGTTGCTGACATATACAGTTCTGCTGGGGCTCGTGGAAAAAAGTAGTATTGTATATATGTGCACTGGCATGTTTCCTTAAACTTATTTGAATCAGTACAATTACTTAGAATAAACCAAATCGCCATGTGCCTTCTGTTTTCAAGCTTGGATTTGTTTGTAATCAATGCATTCTAGGAAATGAGACTCTGACTAGTGTTTGTTTCTTTAGAGAAGAGGAGGAACGCCTGAGAAATAAGATCCGAGCAGATCATGAAAAGGCCCTGGAAGAGGCAAAAGAGAAGTTGAAGAAATCCCGTGATGAGATTCAAGCTGAGATTCAGACAGAAAAGAGCAAAGTAGTCCAAGAGTTGAAAAAGAAAGAAAGCAAACCACTGCCCCCAGTTCCTTTACCAAATCTAATAGGGATAAACAGTGGAGAACCAGCAGACCCAGATGTCCGAGAGAAAAGGGATAAAATTAAAGAGGTAAGTTGATGATGTGCTTCTGTCCATTTCTGTGTCTGATAGCGTTTGCCTGTATGTCCTCTAGTTGCAGTTCTGATTTACATGTAATAAAAAAGTAAAATAGGAGTGCAGATATCTTTAGTAGATGTTAAGTTAAAGTTTATATACAGTATTAATAAACATCATCATCTTATTGCCTGTTTTTCCTTGAGTTGTGATGTTAGTATTTCCTAAGCTTTTTTTTTTAATGAATTTCTTTAATGCAATGTGAAGGCCAAAGTGTGTTTGGCATTTACACATGAAAGAGCAACAGCACATTTGTAAAACAGAGCCCTGCCTTCGTCAGATTTCATTTAAAGAATGGGAGGTATTGGTGTGAGTGAAGTGAAAAGAAAAAAGATTGGTCTGCTAATAAAAATTAGTTGAAGAAAAGCTTTAGATTATTTGGTAAATTTTAAATTGCTGCTCTAAAAATAGTTTTAAAACTAGAGGACCAATGCATATTGCTCATTTTACTATAAAAACATTCAAATTAAGATTTTGGCTTAGACTTCTCGTTCCACAGCATCCTGGGTTATGGGAATTGCTTGTTCTGGCTCCATCCTTCCCACATCAGATTTGCTGTGAGATTTATTGTACTTTTCTGTACCTTTTTTTTTTTTTATTTTCACCTGACATTTTCCTGGCTCATTTATTTATTTATTTATTATCTTTATTTTTTTAATAAAACCCTAATTAGTCCTTTGGCCAGTAATCAGTTTAGCAAACAGACATGATTCAGGCCAGAGAGAGATGAGCACAGGCTCTGTCATTAAGAAGCAGCCAGAATTTCAGCATATAGTGGTTTTATCAACTGGGTCTGCTTTTGACCTGCAACTTGAGTTTAGTAAGTTTAAAGAAAAATAAAAAAAGTTAGTCGCCCACCTGTGCTAGCAATAGTGAAGTGCAACAGCTGCAGTATGATGTGGATAAACCATCCAAGCTGAAATTTTAGCTGGAGTATTATTGATGAAGAGAGCTAATCCACTTGTGTCAAATAGTGGACAAATAGTTTATGCCTGGCGACATGGCAATATATCATTGGCACTTCCCTGGAGGCATGCATCTTCCCTTAGTGACTACTGTATAAACACTTGTGACTGCAAAGTTGTGTGGGGATTATCAGACCCTCTTGCTCCTGCTTTGTTAGGGCTCTTTCCCAGAAGACAGCACTGAATTGTGGACTTGAAAGGACCATGCTGCTTTTCAAAACTGAGGAGTCTTTGAATGTTTTTAGCAAGAATGCACAGAACAGCCTGCTTTGCAAAATGTCTCCTGTGCAGTGAACGTGAATGGTGAACAGTGTGGCCAGGGGGCTGTCAATGCTTTTTAATTTAACTACGAATTACTATATTTAAGTACCTTTGAGTTTGCTGCTTTTGGATTTAATAAGTTAGTTGACCAAGTGACCGAAGATGCTTAGCAAAGGTAGCAGTGATAAATAGCTGAAGAAAGCATCAGCTCAAGATCACATAGCTCATCCATGAGTTGGAATGAAAATTAGTACGTGCATTTCTAAGATTATTTTGTCAGCATGTAGACTTGATCTGAGAAGAGATGAGAAACTGTGGGTTAACATAAACACCTATTTTGCTTAAATAAATAGCGAATCTTGGATGATTCACAGTGATCCACACCTGAAGGTATATGAATTTGTGTAAATTTAGTATAGTTAAACACCCAGGTATTGTTTAAGTAATACTGCGGGGAATATCGGCAGTTGCCACAGATCTTGTACTATAGAAGAATTACTTGTATTTATATAGTTTTTATACACAGCCTAAATGGGAATCACTTCAGAAAAAAAGAAAAGTTATGGAGTAAAAGACAGCTAGAATTAAGTTCCTTGATACAGGGTAGCAGCAGATCCTTTCTGCTTTGACTAGATGCATAAAAGGCTAGAATATGGCAGTGGAAGGCATGCTAACGAGAACTGTACAGTCGTAGTGCTGGAGACCACGTTGCTGCTGCAGTGAGCTTCTCGTGCAGCCTCGGGGCTGCTTCTGGCTTTTGGCACCTGTTCTATTGCAGTGCATGTGGCGGAGGTGGGAGAAAACATTTTAGTCGTGTCCGATAAATAATACTTTGTCCAAAACGTGCTTTTAAGATATCAGTTGTGTGTCTCAGGCTACTGCAGAAGTTCTGGAAATGCAGTGTGTGTTTTGAAATACATTAGTGAATGGGAAAGCTGTAGTTTCACTTCTTGTTCCTTGAGGAGGTTGTGCGTTGCATAAAGAGGTCACTTTGAAAATGCTGTGATTACAGAGAATATAATGCCTAATGCACTTCACTGCACTAACTAACAGCTTAATGGAAACTTGGATGCAGTTGCCTGCAACAATGATCTGAGCAATCAAAGCTATGTTTTCTGTCTAGATACTTGCACCAAATGAATTTACAGAAGTGCCCTTGTGTCTTGATGCTAAGTGATCAGAGTGGTAATTTGTCTTGGGTACTTTACAGCTATGAATGAGTCTCGGGACAGATGAGATAGATGGTTCACATCTTCCAGTGTTGCTACTCCTTTTTTTTTCTTTTTTTTTTTTTCCCCTATAAGTTTTAACACCAAAATCCACTCACATAGGGGGACTTAATCAAAGCCTCACATCGATCTTGAACATCCCTTTCACCCTTCAGCTGCAAGGTAGCAGGAAAAGGGAAGTAAAATCTACTGCATGCTGCTAGAAGGTGTCTTACAGAAAGGAGGTAATAGCTGCTCTTGATTCTTTGAGGGCGGCATCTTCACCTTTTTCTTAGGAACTCAGCTGATTTAGGCTGTGATATAAAGATAGCCCTGGTCTGATGCGGTTTTTGATAATCTGCAGTAACTTTAAATCTCTGTGTATAGCAAGTTAAACAAGAATTGGGAAAAGATAGCATGCAATTGCTGTGGCAGAGTTACTGTTAAGGAGAAACTTATCGCTGTGATCTTTTCTCACCATTCTTCTTAACCAGTATAGACCAATATGAATAGTCTTTGTAGATGAGATAGAAACTTGCCAAAGAGAGTAAGTTCCAGGAGATAGCATCTCTTAATACAGGTCTGCATCCAGTATACACATTTCTGACATGTAGTGCCTTTGGCTTGCTTGGAACACAGTCAAAAAATGTGTAAGGAAGTCCCTGCCTCTCTGGAGACTGCACAACCGATTTTAAAATTACACATGGTCCTGAGAAGGCAATTGCCCTTGATTTGCTTAGATACCTAGAGATGCACATTATAGAAATTCCACTCTTGTAGAACAACTTCACATTTTGTAAATTTACAAAAAAACATAAATACAGCATATTCCACTTTGCATCAAATGGTTCTAAATTGATCCATGGGGGCAATTTAGGGACAAATTGGAACATACACATGGCTCTCCACATTAAGGAGAAGGGTAGAAATCTTCCATATATGGACCTAGTTCCTGTCATTTTTACAGAGATTTATTACTTTTTTTTTTTTCCGAAGAAAACTTTAGTGAAATTGTTCTAAGGGTTTCTATAACAAGCAGCTTAAAGGAGTGCTACTTAAATATTTTAAATATATTTTTATTGACAACATGCACATAAAAGTATTTTAAACTTGTGTAATGCCTTTGTAAAGCATTTGAATACTATGTAGTGGGAACTCTCCATAGAAAGGGAAGTTCCGTGGAATCAACAGGGAAAAGAACATATATGCAGTTTTGGTCTTTGATTCTGATCTTAGTGTTTATATATTTTCAGTTATGAGAACTAGTTTGTAGTTGTGAAATTTGCCTGTATTCTTCTAACAGTCTTTAATTCAGCTGTTCCTATGAGGAGTGTTTATACGATCTGACTGGTTATTTTTTGTGCACAATAACAGTTTTGAGAAGGAAAGCTTTTTTCTTCAGCTGGCATTGCAAACTTTGTAGCACTTCTCTAGTAGAATAACTTGCTGTTTTGTTGTTTTAAAATAGTAGTCAATTAAAAACAATAGCAATTTTTTGAATAAAACCTTCTGAAAAGATTTTTACTGTTCCTCTTTTAGCTTTATGTCAATATTTTACAATATTTTCCATATTAAGTAACAGATGAGAAGGAGCTTTAGTAGGAAGTAGATATGGCTTGTATCATATTTCAAAAAGACCTTAAGATAAATGTTTTTACTGAGGCTAATGGAAAGAAATTAAGAACGAAACTAATCTGTTGAAAGTCATTGGCTTCCTTTTTAAGTTAAATTAAATATAAATTGCATGAGCACTAAGGAGCTTGGGAGCTTGATTTCCCTTATTATGTCCTTTAAATAGTATTTAGAATGATATTTTTGCCACTGTCCATGTCATTACAGCAATAATATCCTGAATATTTTTAATGAGTTTTGTTTCCTTGAGGAATTAAACATTACCCAGTCAAATAAAGCAAGTTTTCGTTCACTTCTTCTCATGCATGCACTCTTTATTTTTTTTTTTCAAACTCTGTTCAAGTCTTAATAATACTAATTCCATGCAGGATAACATATAAATATCTGATCTTAAACATTGAAATGCATCTTTTAGTTCCTGTATTCTTAAAATCCATAGATATATGTCCATGATTTCAACATTCCTCAGTACAAACAAGTTTTCTATGTAAGTCTGTTGACTAAACATAACCAACAACTGAAAGGAAGCTGTACTAGAATGTTATACAAATGTAGTCAAATCACGACTAAAATGATTTTTGTGTTCCAGATTTCAACACAAATCTGAGTTCTTTAGAGTATTTTTGTTCTATTGCTTTTTTCTGTATTCAAAATAATATGTAATTAGTCTGTTACAATTATACATAGCATAGCTTTTATTTTTAGGGATCAAAAATTGAATGGGGTTCACAGAATAAGCCAGGGTTGTGAAGTGAATAAACCTTGTGGTTATCTAGCATGTTTGCTTCTTGTTGTGCGGCCTGGAAACATCAAGATTAACTAGAAATAGCTTGCAGGGGGATGTTTTATTGGTTTCTGACAATTTCTGACGTGTTCTCATCAGAGCAAA